AATGCACCCTGGAAGGAGAAGACAAAATTTTAAAACTTCTACCAATAGAAAACAATGTGAGAAAATAGCTTAAAAGTAACTTTTAAGTTTAGCTCTAACTTGTCGACTCAGCAACTTACTTGAAGCATGTATGTAACAGTCTCAAAACCTACAAGACATCATGAAAATTCATGAGATTGATGGACATGTAATAAAAATTAGAGGAATAATACTGAAACAGACAAATATAATGCCATAAATACCTCTATGAGGATGATCAGGAAATCCAGCAGGAGGTGAAACTGCAATATCAAACATTAAACACTACGTCAAGTCATACAATTTCATAAACGAACATTATTATTCTTTTCAAAACAGGTTTTAGTTTTGTGTCTTTTGTGAGATCAAATTTGAAACAAAACCGAGTTGTCGATATCAAAAATGCAATTGAAATACTACGTCAAGTCATACAATTTTCATAAGCGAACATTATTATTCTTTTCAAAACAGGTTTTAGTTTTGTGTCTTTTATTGAGATCAAATTTGAAATAAAACCGAGTTGAGGACATCAAAAAAGCAATTGAAATACTACGTCAAGTCATACAATTTTCATAAACGAACATTATTATTCTTTTCAAGGATCATGCTACATATATCGAATCTTTTACCTACTACTCACAATGAGGATGTGGATCACATTGTAGGAATTTTTAAATACACGCGGGACCCGCACATTATGTGAGATGGGGTAATTCATTATGTACAAACCATTATGTACAAATGGATTAACCCAAAATGTAATTTGCATTCGTTTTTCTTTTATAGTACTGGATCATATTATTCACCTGCAAATTCATCCAGCATGAGGAAGGGATCCAAAGACTTCAACTCAGGCCTGCAATTTAAGTAAACATAAGAAACTAATTTCCATATGATAAGAAATTGTCTGAGATTAAAGAAAAACATTAAATTTAAGAAAATACCATAAAACTTGTGAATGTCTGATCAAATTTCATACCAAAACATAGTACAAACAGAATCGATAAAATAGTATATAAAAATCTTATTGAAACGGTTCACAATTTCGAAAGATTCAAGAAAATGTTATGTAATACCTTCCTATGCTTCTTCTAACAGCAGCACCATCACCTTCACTCTGAGTCTTGGCCAAGATTTTCTTGGCAACCAATCTTGGCCGTTCAAATCCAAAACTTGTATTTGTATCCGATGCAGACATGATGATCTTTCTGAAAATACAACAAATTGTATTCCTATTTATTTGTCGTATTGATTGATTCTGGTTATTGTGAAGAATCTTCTCTCATATACAAAGGATGTCTGACTGTCTGTCTCTGTTCTAAGTACTTACAATGCATTGTTTGTGTATTTATAAACGAAATTTGAGAAATGGAACAGTGGGAAGAGAATAAACAAAGGGGTTTACTGAATTAGAGGCATTGAGAAATTTGAGGTGCGAACCCAAATGTCAACCTTGGGCTGGTCACGAGATGACGTCAGCCTTGTGTCATCATGATGGAAAATCACCCACTTAAGAAAGTGAATCTCGAATATTTTGAAATATATGTTAAATCTATAACCTATTAAATATCGCATTAAGTGATAATCAATTTTTAAACGATTATAATTCTACTACAATTCAATTATTTCAATAATACCTTACTTTTCGTTTTTCAATATGTATTTAATTTATAAATTGCAATAAATATTACAAAATTCTTATTCATACATATATTACATGTTATTAATTCTCAATTGATTAGCATTCATAATCATATAATTAATATTAATTAGAATTTCACATTCAAGAATGCGGTTCATTATTCACGTCCATATATGCTACTTAGAATCCGATTTCACTTAATTGAAAATTAAATTATATGCATTTAGTATGAATGATTTAACATTCATTGTCACGTATATATTCATTGGTATTAATTTTAAATTAATTAACATTTACATTAATTCATGTATCGTATTTGCCGCTCATACTCATTTGTACATTTAGTTGTAATTTTAATACTCACATTCAAGTATGCATTTCACTATTTACATACATGTATAATAATTAATATCTATTTTCAATGGCTTGTATTTATCTCATATTTAGATCAAATGGGTAAATAGATGGTCAAATATTACTTTCACAGTATTTATAAAGCATTTCGCTTGCACGTTCAAATCTGACTAGCGAATATAAACCTACATGATTAAGAGAATATAATTTGTGATAAAATTCAAACAGGTAATCAATGATTAATTTGATAGTAGTAAATGTTGGGAAAATAGGGCTTAGTGGAATATTTTTGGCATAATTTTGAGTAGGACCCGTCCATTCATCATATATTTCTGCAAGTTTTACTTTCTGATCAGTTCGTTCTAAAGTAATAAAATATTATCACATTTTGCAATTATTTTGTTTAACAGTAAATGAATTAAACTGCACTGTATATAAAAGGATTTCTTGATGTTTAGGTGGCACAGATCTTGAAAGGATTTCTTGAAATAATTTTTACAAAAAAAAAAAAGTAATTATTATTAAGTGGATCCAACCCAATATTATTTATCTTTGCATAAAATTTCTTAAGTTTTTTAAATATAAAAATAAAGTAATTATTAAGTGGACCCCACCCAACATCATTGATCTTGGCATAAAATAAAATTTAGAACATGGTTAGAGATAATGATGTCACACCATGTGTGAACAATGCAACTCCGTGTTCTTCAAATAATTATTAAATGAATTATAATCAAAACTTTTGGAGGTGGGCCCGCCAATGAAATGACTCCATTCATACTTAGCCCTCCTTTGGTGCACATTTTGGATAGAATAGTGCATTTTGTTGATGTGATGGATGAGGAATATGTGATTGAAAAAGAAGGAAAAGTTATTGATGTGATGAAAAATATTATTTTATTGAAGAATGTGTGGTTGAAAATGAGTAGAAAAATGAAAATGAAAATATTAATGTGGACCAAACAAGGACTTAAGCATTGCGTTTGCTGCTGCTTCTTTTTTTAAACAACCGAAGTGATAAGTATTATTTTAATAGGTTGGGTAAGAAAAATAATGAATGGTTTGTTCAAAATGAATATGCCACCTTAGTTTAGTATTTTGATTTTTGTTTTTTCTTAGGTTTAAGAATACAATATTCAATTTTGGAGTTTTTAAATGTCATAATAAAACTTTAAAATAATATGCAGTTGGCACTTAATGATGAATGCATTGTAATATTACTATGTATATTAATTCTTGATTCTTAGACGTGAAATGAATGGTCATAGTCTTTCATTCTTATTTCGAGTTGATAATTACACATTCTTATATCATAAAAAAATTTTAAACGAAATTTTGGTTTCAATTGGTGAGGTGTTTTGTGGCCCTAACTTCATCATCGTCCTTATGAAGTAACTACGAATAATCATTAATTTTTAAAGAGTCATGCAACTTTCTTTGTAACTTCACACTGGCTGATATCATATTCATCCATTTTAAAAATTGATTTTTAAATCAACGGGCATGAATCTTGACAGCTCACTAGTTGTCAAACTAGTTATACAACTAGATTAATCTATTTTTAAATCATAACTATGTTGAAGATAGATAAAGAAGAATTATTGGTTTTATTTTTTTGGAATTTTGACACATCTGCATCTAATAGATAAATAGTAATGCTATTTATCTAAAGATTTAAGCTGCACGTACAGGTGCACGGTTCACAGGGATCTCACAGGTCCCTCACTGTAGTGGGTGGGCCCCACCTGTATTAAAAAAATAAAAAAATTATGCGGGCCCCACAGCTGTGTGTTACCTGGCAGGGACCTGTGAAGCAGGTCCCTGTACGTGTATACTCTCTCTTATCTAAATGCCAATCAAGTGATTTGACCACTTAATCGACATATAGATTGAACATGATTGTATTCACACACAATGATGAGAGAGATCATGGGATAATTAAGCCAGATGGGCTCGACTATTGTCTAATTAATTACACTTAATTTGATATCATTTTAATTGTAAGCTTCCATTTCAAGTTTTTGTCTTTGTGGGGGATAAATAACCTTTGTCAATTAGGGAAAAATGAGTTGAATTTTATGAAATAAACTTGTGCATTGAGGAAGTTTCCACTTTCTTGTTTATTAAACTCGATAATTTTCAACAAATCATGTGTGATTATCGTGTTCATCGTCTTTTTATAATTCCGTTGCATCTAAATACCATGGCCAAATCTTCTATTTATAACTACTAGATTAAGACGCCCAATACAGCACGATTTAAAGAACATTAAACCCCTGTTTGGTGTCCATTATTTAAAAAGAAAAAAAGTTTTGAATAATATTTTTAGGACAATGTATAGTTAAAAAGTAGTGAAATTTTTTAAATTTACGTGCAGAATATTTCATTGTGTGAATGTGTAGTTGAAAATGATCATATAAAATTTTTTTTAAAAAAATAATGAACACCAAACACGTCTGTCTTGTATTATTTAGAATGTGTGAATGCCTAACACTGGTATGTGTGTAAAATTGCTAAAATGTCAATGTTTAAACTATTGGGTTGGTTCTCAGTGGCCCACCCGGCCATTGCCTCCTAAACTAACGGACTAAAATTTCTATTGGTGAGTGTTATCCCTTTACTTTTAAGAACCCTAAAGTCAAGACTTCTAGAAGCTTAGGTTAAACCATAATTAGGTTGACGTGACGCAAATGAAGATTAAGATATCTAAATATGTCAAGGCATTCGCGTTTCTCCCATCTAATTATGAAACTTTCAACACACTCCACACCCAACAAACTAATCTGTAATAATTAATTTACTTTATGTCAACTATATAAGTTCTTTTTTTATCGATTTAATCGACCATGGCTACCTTTGACAAGATATAATACTATCCTATCTTATCTTCACACGAAAAGAAAAGAAAATACTCCACAATTGACAAAAAAACGAATTTTTCTTTTCAAAATAAGTTATAACCAACTAAATAAATCATATCGCCCGTTCACAAATCGCTCGTCCACATATCGCGCCCATCGCCGCTGCATTGCTTCTTAAGTATTGCAAGATCTGGTGGCAGCGACGTTTCTCTGGAAGCAACGGCCAGATGCGTTATCGTGATATGGTGCGCTAACAACGGTTGCGTGTCCATCGTCATTGCTTCTAATCTGAGAGTGGTTGATCCACAACGGCGCAAATATGTTATTTCCTTATTTATTTATTTATTTATTTATTTATGAGTTTTATTTCTCCAATGGTTATTGTGGTTTGTGTGGCCGATGGTTGCTGCGGTAGTGTCTTTTGCGGTTGTTGTGGTGTGTAATGGTGGTCACAAGTGGGGCTATGTTCTTTTGCGGTTGTTGTGGTGTGATGGTGGTCACAAGTGGGGCTATGTTGGTGATGATGGAGCTATTAGGCTGTGTTGGTGGTGGCGATGGTCGCAAGTGGTCGTAGAGGTAGCTGTAGTAGTGTTGGTGGTGATGGTGGTATATGATCAACTATTTGATTAATCTATGACTAACTATTTGATTATTTGTAATCAATTATTTAATTGTGACCTAAAAATTCGATAATTTGTAATTAAAAAATTAATTTGTGACCAACTAGTTCGAAAATTTGTGATCGACAAGTAAATTGTGACCTATAATTTTTTTGATTTGTGATGTACCAAAATATTTTATTATGATTATAAAATAATATGTGACCCATAGATAAATTATGACTTTTAAGTAAGCATATTGTCTACCTGTAACCTTAATATATTCAATTAATAAAATATTTTTAATTAATTAATTAATACTTGAATTCTAAATTTTGAAACTTAAAACCTGAAAATTAAATTATCCCATACTTCATGTCTGGCCTATGAATTTTTCCATACTAATAAACCCAACCCCCAACCCCACAATGGATCACAATTCGTTAGAAAAGTTAAATGAGCTCAACATTTATATATTAAAATAAATGGTACACATCCAAAAAAAAAAAATTTAACCCAAATTAATTTAGGGAATAAATTGACTCCTTAGAAATACAAGAAAACAAAAGGCAAAACTTCTTTTTGGTAGTTTTACGACATTCATGACTCTTGTACAGCTGCAAATCTAGGCTACAGTTTCTGCAACAAAATTTATGGGCTATAACCATAATAAACGAGATTTTGAACTACTTTACTAGAACACTACTGTCCAGTCACGAATCCGTTTTCCTCTTCTATGTCTCAGAATTAGCTGGTAGTCGCACGTAGAGACCTACACGGAAANCGTAGAGACCTACACGGAAATTACCTTCAAGCAGCCGATGATGAAAATGGCTTTTATACAAGTCCCAGAACTCGTCTCTGTCAAATGCGCATACAAAAAGATAAAAAATAAAATTTGCAAAACGAAAATTTTTAAGAGTGAAAACCTTGACGAATATACTTGATAGAAACAAGGAATCTACAGGAAATTGAAGCCAAACCTGACTTGAGGAAGTGTGAACAAGGAATAGCCCTTAACATCTGTGTGCATGTCGAGCACAATCACTGCTAATCGAGATAGGCACAGTGCTTCCATATCGATTAGTTTCTTAATCCTGTATAAATTTGAAAAGAATTTAAAAGATAAGTTACAAAAATGGCTAAACCAATTAACCAAAGAAGATAAAAAGCTCACTGTTGTATTTATGGTTAAAATACTACTCTTTCTTCTATATATGAAATTTTCTCAACAATGCAACTTCTTTCACTACAATGCGTAATTTTCCAAACCTAATGCACATCAATTTCAGATTGAGGCGATCTCCATTCAGGAAGTTTCGAATGAAAGCTAAATTAGGCACAGGATGCAATTAACATACAACTTGAAGTCTTGAATACTTTGAAGATACGCCCACGAATCTGGATTTCAAGAATGTATAGTGAACTTTGGAAAGATGCAACGAGCTAATAATAATTAAAATGCAAGGATGGAAATTTTCAAACCTGTGTGAATCTATGCTAGATTAAGCGTGAGGAGATTAGTGGCGACTCAATTATTGACAAGTCCAGAAAAAAAGAACTCAACTATTCTTCCAGTAAAAGCTGCTGTTGACTCCATCAATTTAATTACTCACTTCTAGTTTCCAGAAACAAAATTTTGTTTGTCACTTATCATTCAGTTAATTTTCCTTTGAAAGAAAAGAATATAGTTTCAACTTACATTTGACAACTATCATAATCTAAAACAGTCTGTCTTAATTAAAATCCATAAAAGATTCAAGGTGAGACTTAAAACTGGCTATTTCAAGATAGTGAACTCATCAAAATCCGTTCATAGGATTGGTTACACAGAATAGATGGGTTCATAGATTGTATAGTTCTATTTATTTCATATTCCTACATATTTTACATCATGATCAATTATACATTAATTATGCACGCATTGAGCATGCACTAGTATCTAGTACATTTTAACAAGTGGGAGAGTTCTGTGCATAATCAGGTGTTGTAATTTTATTATCTACCCACTTCCTTCGATATTTTGCCTCCATTTAAGGACAAAAAGGAAAATCAACTTTGTAGTTCAGCTTTCCGTCGCCGTAAAATTTTCTCCATGTCAAATACTCCTTACTCCTAGGTGTTACACCGCTTATTAGCCACCCCTAAATTTACATCTTGCAACAGTGGGTCACTATGACTAATTTTTTTGCTTCTTTGAGAATCTGCAGCTCTAAAATCTCACTAATTTCTTTGAAATTGAAGCAGATAATCAAAGACATTGTGTACCATGATCACGTATCTAAATAAGCCACTCCCTTTTACAACTAGTACAAGAATTTAAAATCTTAATACACTTAACTAGTCTTTCTTCTGGCTTTAAAAAGGTTCTGTTTCATTTCAGAGAAAAAAATATGGTACATGGGATCAAAAAAGTAGATTAAAGCATCTATATAAATGGTACAATTCCAATAAAATCAAGGGTGATGACCCTAGAGCCAGTAAGGGAGAGGTGGAGGTAAGAGTAAACGATCACATATGCAAGAAAGATCATCACAAACCTGCTTGGAGTTCCACAAGCAATATTGACACGATTCTTTAAGAGGGACACCTGCATCAGCAAAAAGCAAATACAAATTCAAACTCCAGGAGATAAGTGAAAGAGATAATAAGATGCAGGAGCAGGACAGAGAAAGATGATAAAAGGAAGCTACCATCGTCTATAACCATGGTGGCTGTGTGTAATTGTTTATTATTTTTTTTTGATGTGGGACATATTCCAAAAATATCCTGGAAGTAGTCTGATAGATTTTAGTGTTTGTTTAAAGGAGTTTGGGAGAAAGAGAGGTAGTGTAAAAAGGGATCATAGATGAGTTTTACTATAGTTCAATTTAGACTCCGTGTGGTTGGTTGAGATGCAAGAGTGACGAGGCATTACCAGCCTAAACTGATGCGAACTAAAATCCACATAGTAACATCCACTATTCAAGCATTACAAGTCATATAATTTGTTCACTACTAATTTGATGTTGGTCAAAAGTTGTAAAACCTGCTCCTCAATCTTCATATGCTTAGAGAATAACTTTGCAGCATGACATTCTTTTGTAAAAGGCCTCAATTCCCTGTAGAAGGAGAATATGTTGTTCAACAGTATTAACCAAAAATTATATAGAACATATGTCCACATTGAAATATGCAACAAAATTATCAGGTCTTGGAAGAGTGAATGACTGATTCTGTGATTCATAATAAGCACAAATATTAAAATAATAGATTTTAAAATTTAAATGCATGCAAGGCATCAACCTGAGAAGTTCCAGTGACCTCAGGGCAGATAGACTTATTACAAGAACTGCAGGATTTCCAGGATCAACTTTCCCTTCTTGAAGATGTTTTTCACAAAGCAGTTCTTTCCATGATGGCCCAAAAGCAACCTTGATATACTGACCCAAATTGTTAATATTCTGAGCAGGACCCTCACATAGATCAAGGATGCATTTGTCTGCTTAATACAGAAAAATTAATCGCAATAATAAATTATATTCTGATTAATACAGAATAATAAAACAAGATGAAGGGATTACAATGAAAAATGTCAACACATTATTTATTAAGTTGGAGAAAGGGCAATCAATCAGCATCTTTCCGCACAACAAATCAAGCATTATTCCCAATATAGTATAAGTGATTTCTCTCCGTGGCAGTGCCAATCATATTTCTCGAAGCGAGGTCCTAGACTATAATGATGTGAAAAGATAATTTGTGAAATTTGCAGGTTTTAGTAATTACAGATTGTGTACCTGAGCTTTAATAGGTAAATAATGGTAATCTTCTTGCTGAAACAGAACATCATCTTTGCCACAAACTACTTGCATGATTTGCTTTCAACAAAAATGGTAATTTTATTCAATCATAGCTAAATTTTGTTCCATCATTATTATAAGGAAAAAATTTCTACACTTTTCGAAGACTTTTATCTTGTCATATTAGCTACTAGTGACGCAGCTAGTAAATCCAACCCAAACGTTTCCGATTCTATCAAAAACTGTTTCCATTCAACGCATTGCTCCGAAACATTCCAACAGAAGTAAAAAAATTCAAAATATATATTTCTAATTCAATGTCGATTCTAATACATACAACCATATGTGCGTACAAGAAATGGAGAGGGCCAGACCTTTGAGGGATTCAATTTCGAGAGACGAAAGCTGAACGCCATTGGTAGATTGATACTGGTGAACAAAAAATCTCAGTTGCAGAGAAGCCGTCGCCAGTTGAACGCCATAGTTTCCATCGTTTTCTGCTGCTTCTGTGCTTTCAATTACGTTCTTCTTTTCACGGATTTTTGTGCTATCAATTAACGTATTCCCAACGGAATTCTTCTTCTTCTTGTCCTTGGATTTGGTTTTACTAATTTTAGTTCTCTTCGAGTCCAGAGGCAATTGCTTCTTTTTTCGCTTTGAGCGGGTGGTGGACGAGGGTTTTGCCGCCATTGTTGCGTCCGAGGGCTGCTCCGCGTGCTTCCGGCTAGGTTTGGGGGAAATTTAACGCGTGCCTAGAGGACGGAAGGGGACGAGTAAAGTGTACAATGCGTTTTTATAGTGAGGTAAATTACAGAAACCTCCTCCTGAAGTTTATTATAAATACAGAGACACCCCTATTTTCTAATAATTACAAAACGTTCACCTATCAGAATAAATTGCTTATTTTACATTTTTTCTCATATTTTAAATATAAAAATAAATTTTGCTTTTTTATTTTAATTTGGACAAAGAAAATAATTTTTTTTATCTTTTTGTACAAATTGATTTGTCATAATCATATTTTGTGAGAAATCTTTAAAATGAACAAACTATGATCTTAGACATTTACCATGAGATTAGCGCCTATTTGAGCCCATTTTTTTTGGTCCAAAATGAATTTTGTTGAAAAATGTGTTATTAAAAAATAAGAATTTTTTTTGAATTTACGTGCAATATTATTTTATTGAAAAATGTGTAGTTGAAAATAAAATACAGAAAAATGCATTTTTAAAATAATGAGTACCAAATAATGGCTAAATTAATTTTTTAGACTTAAAATAAATATTAAACATTTAAAAAAATTAAAAGTTATAGATAGTGCTACTAAATCGAGCAATATAAAATATTTTAATAATTATTAATTAGCCTTTCAAATTATTTATAAACTTTTATTTTGTTGATCTGTTACTTAATTGCTTAATGTATTTGCAAAACCTTGAACATTTTATTTAATAAATAATTAGTACATTATAATTTTTAGAAGGTAAATCACAATATTTGTTTTTTTTTTTTTTTATCAAAGTAGCAAACATACTATCAATACCCGTCGTTGTGATAGTTTACGTTGCCAAGATTAAACATCATCCACCACTATTGTTACTGACATTGCAATAACGTGTATATACAAAATACATATATACCTATATGACATTTTTCACACAAACATATAAATATAATACACAAGTATACACCAGTCACCCTGCCATCCATTATCCTTTACGCAAGCACCGTGCGAAGAAATTTTTGTCACAACTGCACTTGTAATGCCTACAAAAGTTTCATAAAATCATACACCCAAAAGAAAGAGAGGAAGTGAAAGCTATTACGTCATTTCATTTATAAAAATCAGACAAAGACATCATAATTGAGATAAATTTCTTCGTACACGACAAGTTGAAATTCCAAAATTACAATGTTCAAATTATAATTGCATTTTAAAAGTTATGGAGATTGACTTGCTAAGGAGACTATAAACTAGCAACCATTCATGTAATTTTTCTTAATCTCTTTATAAAAATCATTCAGTACAAATAAATTAACAATCGATTAATTAGGTTCACACGACTTTATTAATTGCACCGTATTTTAATTATAATGAAGATACTCAATTTTTCTTATTTTTCATGTTTATGTATTTAGCTCCTATTTGTCTACCATTAATTCAAAAAATTGTTTGCTACAGTAAGATTCTCCACCACACATTCACCAAATAAAATATTCTACACACAAACCAATAAAGTTACTTTAATTTTCAACCACACATTTTCTAAAAAATACTATTCATTACACTAATTTTCTCTCAATAATGGGAGACAAACAAGTCCTTTGTTTTATTTGTTGTATTCCTATAGCTAATGTACGATTCATGAAAATTTGAAAAATTCAAAAAATCGTTGATTTACAAATGTCATATAATAAGATTGTTGCCTTGTTTCGAAAAAAATCCTTATAATTCAAAATATATGTTTGGGTTGGAAAATTATTTTTTTCCAAAATATTTGTTAATTTCTAGAAAAATAATTTTTAATTTTTTTTATTTATTTAAAAATACGACAGGCAAAATTCTTTTTCCTCTCCCTAATGGATTTTTTTTTTTAACCGTACGCTAAACCGTAGAAGGTCTAGCATAAAATATGAGAAAAGTGAAGAGGTACATGTGAAAATTAGCAAACTTTAGGGAGGTTAATTAAAATTACAATTAAAATGTCGTGCAATTAAATAAAATTACCCTTAATAATCCCAAAGAGTAAAAGTAAACCTATGTAAATAATAATTTCCTGCTGAAGTCTACGGTCTACCATTCTCTCTCTAATGGCTTCCCCGGCTACGAGATTTGTCTTCGCACTTCTTACATTTGTCACCATGGGAATGATAATCGGTAATCCTCCTATTCTACATCTGTGTGCTTGTGCTTATATTTATATATAAGGTGATTTGATGTGAATTTGTGAACGTTTACTGTTTATTGATCTCATAAGATGTAATCATCAAGACATTTTTGTGTAAGTTTGGTGTTTGTTTTGAGCAATTCAGTGTTTGATTTCTCTACCAGGTTTTTTTCTTTATCTGACACTGTTTTTACAAGAAAATAAGAGGAAATCTAAGAGGAAGGAAAGGGTTGTTTAAATGTAATAAAAATAAATTTGTGCAGAAATGAGTAATTTTAACGCCATTGACTGGTGATTTGTCATTGAAATGAATATAAGAACTTGCTGGTACAAATTTATTAGGTCTCAGATTGAGAAAGTATGAAAGAAAAAATCCATTTTATCTAAATAAAATGTATTATTCGTTATAATCTAGTTGAAGAAGTTTTTGCTTTGCTGTTTATGTAATTGTAATGAGGCCCCATTTCTGATGGACTTTGATCATACTGACGCCAGGTTTTGTTATGATTATATCGAAATGCTATAAGGGGAGGTTGATTAAAATTTATCATTTTTCTGGACAGTTTGGGTAATTACGCAGTAATTTCTCTGTTTTGTTGCATTAACCAAATGCTTGTTGAGCTTTCTAAGATGAAACAATCTGAACTGAAGGGAGCCTAAAGGGAAACGGTTCTTTTATCCTTCATTCTAACTTTTTGTCCAAAACTTGTAAAAAGTTGATAATTGTCGTCTATAAAGCGCAGGGTGAAATTAATAATGCATGCTTCACAAACATAAAATCAGAAACTTATGTTTCTCTGGCACTGCAGTCTTAAGCTTAACGTGTAGACTATTTCATGTTGAATTGCCTTCTTCACCTTCTGAATGTGGATTTTACGTTAAACAAATTATTTGTGGTTTTTTATTGTTTTCCTGATCTCTGTGTGAATAATGAGCTAATGCTGCAAATGACATTCAATATGCATTGACCAGGGGCTTTGTTACAATTAGCATATATTCGAAGGTTGGAAGATTCATATGGTATATCTCTCAATCATTACTCTCTAAAGATTTCATTTTTATGCAATAATTTTTTGACTTGAACTGTTTTATATAATTGTTATGATATTATCTTTATAGTTCTTTGCTATTTTCTATATATGCTTTTCAATATATTCAAATTCTTCTATTGGTAGATTATAACAACATTTTCTAGCAATGGCTGATAGAAGTTGATGTCACAATTTATGCTTTTGTGTAGAATTTAAAGTGAGGTTAAGATATCATAGACACTAATTCCCAAAGCCTAGACGCTTTCTAATACTTGGAAAGTACTTCTGTGTCAACATATACAACTACTTAAGATTGGGCATATCTAATCACAATGGGCAAACTGCCCATTTCTTATAAATTTAGTGCATTCTTAGTGCTTTGTCCAAAATTGAGAAACCTTTTTCTTAATTTTAGAACAGAATCTGACAATTCTATCTGCTCTCTCGTATGAATACTTAATCCTTAGTTGCTGAGCCCGCTGGAAATTGCCATGATACTATGTTATTCTCAGTGTGGTGACTTGCCTCAAAAGCTTAAAAATCCTTAGCTTTTTAATCCTAATTGACCTTCTAGCCATTCTGCATAAACAACCATTATCGAGGTAATTGCGATTCAGGGCCACCCACACTACCCTTTTCTAAAAGTCTGCAAGCTGATGCTTTTAAATTACATACAAAATCCATAGATTGTAATCCAAATGAGGTCATTCAATCCATTGAAGTTACCTACACATTATCTTCAAAGCCCAAATTTGATGCATGCCATTTTACCCGGATTTGTTTCAATTACATCTTTGTCGTTAGAACCTGTGATGCATAATATATCTGTACATAATCTTCAAACATCACCACTAGATCTTGCTCAGGCAGAACTTGTAAGTTCAGTAACTTTTGAACTCATTACGAGTGCTAGTGCATCTTTTTGTTTATTTGTTGTATGTTATGCTCCTCCTTTGGGTGAACTAAGGATATTGCTTGATGGTACTATACTGATTTTATGTTGAAGCTTGCCATAGGATATGTTTTATAATTTTTATAATTTGCACATCATGTTACTTCTTCATTTGTCCACGTGACTGACTTTCATACATATGTTCTACACCTCTAACCTTACCAGTGTAACAAAATGTTAGACTCCCTGCATTAACTACATTTTCTGCACAAAAATATTCCATCAAATGACCTTTTCAGAAAATTTCGGAGTGTAGGAACTGAATCTTCCTTGAGAAGATTAAGTGAAATTCGGAATGGAGGTGGTGTTCAACTTACTCGAGGTATTTACCGTTGCCTTTAAAGTAAACTGAACGCAAAAATAAGCATAGTTTTATCTGCACGTATTATAAATACATCACGGAAATTTATGCATTTCCATATTTATTTTCCTAGGTATTTCTCACTGGGAGGACAAAGAAGCCTTGATTTTACGTCTTGGATATGTAAGTTCCTCGTGTTGTTCTCAAATCTCTAGTTAGCCATTGGTCTTTTACCAAAGATGCATTTATGTTAAAAATGGCACCAAAAATTGACATCAATTACCCTTAAATTGAAAGCCTGAACACATGAGCTTATAAAATTAATAAAGCTCCACTGTCTTATTTATTTTTCAATCATGACTAAGAATTGTTTTAAATTATGACTTCATTCATCTCATGATGCAGGTCAAACCTGAAATAATTAGCTGGTCGCCGCGCATTGTTGTATTTCATAACTTTTTAAGTACAGAGGTAGGTCATTTTGATTTTTTTTTTCTTGATTGGCATGATTTAGATGATCTGTAGTTTCTATTTCCAACAAAATTTGTATTTCTGTGTTTACATTAGTTTTGTCTACAGTTCTGTGGAAAAATGTAATTCATGATTGATTATTAGATCCTATTAAAAGATTTTAATAGTTCATTATGTTGAAACAAGACTATGAATCCAGGAACCTGTAAAGTTTTGTCGTAAATTCTGTGGCTTTGTGTTCAATATTGAGTATAATAAAGTGTTCTGCAGTATTTGATGCTAGCCAGGTTGCATTAACTGCTTCGCAATCTCTGCTCATAATTGTTCTTTAAGGTGAGATCTACAAAGAACAGCAACCTTTGTGACGACCCTGATGCTGAGGATGGCGAGTTTAGTAAGAACTACGAGACATCACGAGGGTAGAAGTACTAGAGCTGCCTACCCAAAATCCAGGCGGAAACTTAATTTCTGTAGGATTTCCCTTCAAATATGCCATATGTTTTTAAATCCCATTTACATGCTCTACAACAATAGAACTGAAATCTAATGAATTTATTTTATTAACAGATCATCAAGATTTGAGCTAAAACATCTTTCTTCTTTTTCTAAGCTTCTTGCTCCTCTGTCATTTGTTCTTCCACCACAATGAATGGATTTCTAAGATAATTTCTTTTCTTTCTTGTTGACCCAAGATGTTGTCCTTATTAACTCATTTTCCTTGTCACTTCTTACATTTCTGTGCTCTGAACCATTAATTAGTTCCCTTGCCTGTTCTTCATATGATCCTAAGAACTGAACATTAATCTTCCCTGACAACATCATCTTTCTCCTTGTGTTTTATTTTCTATTTTTTCTTTTGCAACTTACCTGTGCATGTGTATTTTGTCAAAGTAGGTTGGGTTTACGCGAAAAAATTTGTAAGGAAAACAAAAGACCAAAAAAGAAAAAGATTGAGGATGTAAATACTTGTGTGTTTCTCTGTTGAATTTATGCCACATTCTGACAAATTGGCTTTGCAGTATATATTAAATAGCTTATTTAAATTGTGGAGTGCTTATAATGTCTATTGCTCTATGAATGACAACTAAGACAGGGAAAACATTTTCTACTTCACAGGAATGTGATTATCTTAGAGAACTTGCCAAGCCTCGTCTGCAGGTTTCTACAGTTGTGGATACAAGAACCGGAAAGGTGGGAATAGAAAGCAATTATTTTAGTCTAATCTTGTGGCTTGTTATTTTCCTTGGTTTGTTGATTTCTTGTAGTACGAGTCATATTTTACACTGTTCATGTTAGCATTTACACTAAATATTGAAATTATCTGGAAAACTGGATCTACCCTCTCAGGTTTAGGATTCCCGCATAACGATGCTGGTTTGCACAACATAAATTGTTCCTTGGTACTCCATCCAGCATTATTTGCTCAGTTAAATTCATGATGCTTATTTTTATTATGCCTACAAAAATGATGTGCAATAGTTGATTGTGCCGACGTGACGGTGTTTTGGCATACCTTACTCCATATGATATATTTTCTCCCTTTTTCAATGAGCTGCAATGATCTTTGTGCTGACGTGACGGTGTTTTGACATACCTTGCTCCATATGATATATTTTCTCCCTTTTTCTATGATCTGCAATGATCTTCTATTAATACTTAATATCTTCATTATCGGTTCTTCTGGATGCATGAATGGTTTGATCATTGTGCTTCTTTATTATTTTCTATTCTGCTTAGTTTTAGTAAATTTTCTTTTGCTTCGATGTCTTTGGAATCCTGATTACAAATTTCAGTAAATTTCTCACATGTACTTGAATGTATTATATAATGTCTCAGGGAATCAAGAGTAATGTTAGAACAAGCTCTGGAATGTTTCTTAGCAATGAAGAAAGGAAATACTCTCTGATACAGGTTGACTTGCTTTGAACTCTATTTATTCCCGTTGATGTGTTATGTGCACGAACATGTCTTTGAAGCTTCATGCATTGTAGTTCTTTATTCGTCTCATTTTTTTCAGTTTCTATCAAAGAGAAAATATACAGTGATTGCATACTGACATCATGATTTTACGATGTATTGCAAACCATGTCTTACTGACAATAGGACTTATGATTTTGGTGCCATTCACCATCAGGCAATTGAGAAACGAATATCTGTATATTCTCAAGTACCAATAGAAAATGGAGAGCTTATACAAGTATTGAGGTGGTGTAATTCTCATGCTCGTTGCATTTCCCCATTTCAAGCAAAAGGTGATTGGTTTTAATATCAAGGCTAACATCTGCTTTGCAGCACAGGTATGAAAAAAATCAGTTTTACAGACCACATCATGACTATTTTTCTGACACGGTGAGCTTTTTCTGCTTTCCTATTATGTTCATCAGCTCAATTGCATCTCTTTCATCCTTTTAGCTCTAGCCATCTTTAAAGGCTGTCACATGTTGACAAAGAAATAATGTTTTTTTGTAAAGTTTAATTTGAAGCGGGGTGGTCAACGAGTGGCAACAATGCTTATGTACTTAAGTGACAATGTTGAAGGAGGAGAGACATTCTTCCCACAGGTAGCTACATTCCAGGCTATTAGTTAGTGTTGCTATGTTAATTTCAATTTTTCTTGGTTTCTATCCAGAACTATATTATTAATTCAGACACACAGATTGCACGTGTATTTTAGCATTCTGCTAGAGCATTCAAATATTAAACTACGATCTGACATACATGGGGTTGTCTGATAGACAATGAACATGATTCTGGGATGTTGACCTGAGAACTAACTTAAGCAGGTTGAGCATGATTACTAAAATTACTATCGTAAACAAAGGCAAGAATTTAGTAACCTGTTAACCAAAACATAGAAATAAATGTGCTTTGATACGTAGGATACAAGTTTCCAATTGCTGATAGCTGTGTAAGCATCCTGTGGTGTCAAATTGCTAAACTAAGATCTGGTGACAATACACAGAGTATTATTGGTACAAAGTACTGGACAAGAGTACAGAGTCCAGTGAAATAGATTTCAGTTTCTTTTCTTTCTTACTACTGTTTAATATGGTAGAATCCACCTTATAAACAAGCCAACAGTGTTCTTGATATAGCATGCATATAATTGCTTGGTACAGTTTTTCTTTCCTTTTTGAAACTGTAATAGAATGTTGTTAAATATTTAAATTCAATGCTAAGTTCTGTGGCATAAATGTGCGGAAAGCATGAATAGTAAACTATTATCCTGCATGAGTTGTATAAGTATTTGTTTATGCAGCATCTTTAACTGCTATGATGAATTTTTATGCATCAAATATCTACACCCTAATAATTTTACAAGTCAATAAATTGGTTTGTCCAAAAACACTCATGAACATACTGCTATCTTTATATTCATTGTATTGATTGTTATCTTTTATCTGTCTCTCATTTCATGATTTTTTTAATTTGTCAATTCCCACTATCATTAGGCTGGATCGGGCGAGTGTAGCTGTGGTGGGAAAATGGTTAAAGGATTGTGTGTGAAGCCAAATAAAGGAGATGCTGTGCTTTTCTGGAGCATGGTTTGTTTTCTTCCTCTAGTTTTGGCACATCTTGATTCACCATTGATAGTTGTCATATAATGTGATAAAATTCCATGATCCATATAATCGAACATCAAAACTAACCATCGAAAATGTTTATATGCACTAACTATTCATGATTGTTCATTGTTTGCATTGATTTTCATTTTTAAGTTTCTTGATACTTCTGATTATGAAGGGTGTAAAATTGTTTTGTATGGTGATATTATGTCTGGCAGATTTGTTTGATGAAATATTATACTCTAGAAGCTAAAAGCAATTAATTACCTGAGAAGTCTTTGAAGTTTTTGGAATTAGAAGTTATGTAAAGAATATGCGAATAAATGCTTGAGCATGCTGATTGATGGAAGTGGAGACACTTTCATGAACTCCGGGAACAAATTTAGTGTTTCTGGACTCTCTGCTAAGGTACAGGTTTTGCATTCAAGTGTCATTGCATTTGATGAAAAATGAATCCAGCATGTTGAAGACATAATGTGAATAAATAAGTTTGTTCCCTATATGACTTAAGCTTTTAGATTAGGTGGTTCAACATGGTAGATTTTGATGAAAATGAATCTATCCCGAGGGTCATGTTCAAAACATTATTTAAATAATTAAGTTTGTATTCTCTATGCCAGCTTTAACTTTTAAACGAGGCAGTTCAGGAGGGTGTTGTCTAACCTTAAAATTTATTTTCAATCTCCATGCTGTTTTGTTTTACAGGGGCTTGATGGACAATCAGACCCGAATAGCATACACGGTGGATGTGAAGTATTGTCGGGAGAGAAATGGTCTGCTACTAAATGGATGAGACAGAAAACTGCAACCTAATCTTGCTTCAACTTCTTGTGATTTCCACTTCTATAATTTTTCAAGGTAACTAAAAATGATACGTTAATGGTTAGTGTGCATTAGTACAAATGAAAAGGGGTTTTCTTTGCTTGGAGATAATATTGAAAAGAGAAGTACCCTTGTAATACAATGTATGTATAGTACTTGAACTAGTTTATGGCACAAACATGTAAAATTTGTTGTCGGAAATCAATTAACATCTCCGAGTGACCTTTTTGGACTGCGATTTGATTGATTTTAATACATTCTCCGAGATTATTATTTTTTGTTTCGAGTTTCTTGAATTATCAACTCACTATTTAATTTAGGAACTTGTTCTCGTGTCTTCCTTGAACCGTCGAGGCACTGAATCAATAGAAGGGCTACTAGTGGTATAAAAGAACTTGAGTCAAACGAGGCTAAGATGGGTTGATACCTGATATTGATCTTTCAAGTGAAAAAGCTCGTTTTAACATAATCAAGAGCATTCGGTTTGGGTCAAGTACAAGAAGTGAGAAGGGCTCTTTTTCAAATTTTGTAATTTTTAAAACCTTTTGATGAAGAAATGTGAGTGTTTGAATTAAATTGAGTGTGTTTAGGTTAAGCTTTTGATGAAGTGAGAAGATGCTTTCACAATCTATGGTCAGGTAGGTGTTAAGAATTGAGGTTTCATCTCAAAAGGTCAATCTTTTAGAAGGAGTAGTCCAAACTTTTATAAATTGGTTTATAATTTCATCTTTATTTGATGTGGGTTCTATCCCTTAACACGTCTCTACAAGATGGTGACTCGTTTGAGTAGACCAATCTTGAAATTCGTGTGCTCAATTTTTTTTTTGAGTCTTAATCAGATCGAATTGCTCGTTGGAGCTTAACAGGCTCTGATACCATATTAATAATTGAAGTTCCATCGTAAAAGGTCAACATTTTAAGAGGAGTAGTCCAAACTCTTATAAATTGGTCTATAATTTCATCTTTATTCGATGTAGAATTCTATTTCTTAACAGTAGGAGTATGTTTTCATTCGATTTTAGTCTGAAATATCCACTCATGATTTTGATTGTACAGAATTGTCCACGATAATCTAATTTTAATTTTTTTTTCAAAAAAAAGGCTTTTGATGAAGAAATATAGTTTTTGAGTTAAATCGAGATTTTATTATTAGATCTAGTCCACAATATTTATTCGTGATTTTGTTCAAAATTGCCCACGATATTCAAAACGAGAGAGTAATTTCATGGAATTAGATTCACGGGCCTTCCATGAGAATCCTAATCTGGAGGATAGTCATTTGCCATGGGATCTTCTACGCCACTTACACTTCTAGTTCTCTTTGTCATGATTTCAATGAAATACTAGGAATTTGGAAATTTTAGGTGGAATGGACAATAACTTTTGGGTAACCATGGATTTCGAGTGGACTAATATGGGCTATGAGAGCATCTCCAATGATTACACTAAGTTGTTGTAACTTTTATAACAAATTTGGTTAACTATGGATTTCATGTTAACTCGAGAGCATCTCCTATGATTACACCAAATTGGTGTAACTTTTACACCAAATTTGAATAACTATGGATTTCAAGTCGACTACTATGGATTGTGAGCATTTCCAATGGTTACACCAATTTGGTGTAATTTTTACACAAAAAATAAGGATATAGTTGAAACAAAAATTTTGTGTAAAAGAAAATGGAGGACAAAATGGGAAATAATGAATTACACCATATTTGGTGTAAATTAATAGTTTTATACATTACACCAATTTTAGTGTACCATTGGGTCCACATGTCGCATCAACACTTGAAATAACAAAAGGCATGGTGTACATTCTACTTGTATACCATGTCAGCCATAAAAAGGGGTTCCATCGTGCCCATGTGCCATGGAATGAACATTTATGCCTTGGTTGTTAAGACCTGCATGAACAAAATAATGCTTCAATTGTCGAGACTTGCTGGTCCAAAGGAATGTGTAGGACTTTAATACTTGACCAGAAATATGATTAGATGTCTCAAGTTGCTTTGAACATGGACTTGACTCATTTTAGTGCAAATTTTGACAAATAGTTTAGATATCCAACTTAAATTGCACTAAAATAGTGAGTAAAGATAGATGGAGGAGCAAATAGGATGATAATGAAAGATAAACGGCTAAATTTTACTTAAAAGAAAGTTAGAGGACCAGAATAGTGGTTACTAGTACTTAGCGGGGCAAAATGTTGTGTTCTAATAGTTTGGTGACTAACTCCACCTAATTAATCGATGGAGGGCCAATATGATGATGAATGAAAGATGAAGGACTAAAATAGACTTAGAAGAAAGATAGAAGATTAGAATATCAGAAAATGATATTTAGAGGAGCAAGCTATAGAGTTCTTATAGTTGGATGACTAACTTGACCTAAACTTATAGATGGAGGGACAATACGACCATGAGTGAAAGAAGGATTAAATTGGATTTAATAGAAAGATAGAGGACCATAATAGTGGGTAAAGATAGTTGGATGGACAAACTGTCGAGTCTTAATAGTTAAATGACTAACTTCAGCTCAGATAATAGATGAACGACCAATGCAACGATAAGTAAAAGATGAAGGACTAAATTAGACTTAACATAAAGATGGAGGACCATAATAGCGGGTAAAGATAGTTGAAGGGGCAAATTGTCAATACTTGATAGCTCAAAGTACTCTAGGCCCAACCCATATTAGAGAATTCAATTTGAGATCCGTTACGTTTATAAAAATTACACGTTTCAAGTTTTTGAAAATAAATAAATCAGCCTACAGTAAAGAACACTTGGAAAGGTAATGAATTAAATTTTTATATTACTTCAAATTATAGAAAAAGAAAAATAACTTGTGCCCCAAGCGTTTCTCTCTCTATTTTCTGCTGATTAAATAATTTCCATTTAGTCGAGCTACTTGGTATATATATTCTTCCGGCGGAAAATGTTACTAGACTTCAATACATCTACTCGCATGGGATCGAGTTTCATTATGTAACTTATTCTTATGTAAACTAGAAATTTCGACCCACGGATTAGGTCATATATGGAATCCGAAAATCGAGCTTTTGTTATGCAACTTACAAAGCAAGCTTCACCTCCTGTTTATACTAAAATCCTTAAACGGAATGCAACCTTACTTGATTGGTGATCCACGTGTCACTATAAAGATATCATTCTTTGCCTAACGCCTGCTTAATAAACGGCTTCCATTGGGTTTAGCTAAGTTGGTACGAAAACATGATGTTGTTCGTTTCAGATCTTGTCTTTTCTCTGTCACCAGAATAAGTGCTCTAAGTTTTATCCGACCACGCCGTATATGTATGTCTCCATTTGACCTCAGATTCGTCCTTTGACGGTAGTTTTTATAGTAATTGATAGCTTTAATTAAAGAATTTAAGTTGTATATTTCTCAAGTGAACAATATTAATCAATTTTTAATTAGTAGAAAATGTGTGTATTCATTGAAATGCGTGGTTAAAAATAATTATTAAATTTGCACGGAAGGGAAAAGAGGAGAGAGTTGCCCTAAAAGATTGAAGCTTTTGGTTAGGGATACAATATAGAGACAGAATGGAAGAAGTTGGAGAAACAAAATAAGAAAAAGCAGATAGAGACAATTTAGAAAAAAAAATTAGTTGTTGTTAGAAATAAAGCAGAATGACGTATCAGGATATTTTGAAATTATGCCGTGTTATGCAATGAACTTCTTCACTTTTTGTTCCTTTATAGATATTTCTCGTAGTTGGAGATATTTGTAACTAACATCAAAGCTAGGGGTCTAGATGCGCTATTCTAAATTTGTCGTCTCTTCGTACATTTTTGATACATTGACACATTACACATTAGCAGGGACAGATCCAGAAAAAAAATTGGACACGGGCTAAAGCGCAAAAAAAAAATATTTTTACTAATTTTTTTTTTTTTTTACTTAGGATCTGGGTTGCAGGGACGGGCTGTAGCAGAGGCTGGCTGGTCCCTGGATTCGCCCCTGTACATTATTATCTTCTTATTTACTAAAATGAAATGATGTCACGAGGTGTCAAATTTATAGTGGAAAGATAGCCAATGGAACAAGAAATTCGGGAAAGCAAATCTCATATCTCAGTGATATTGTTAAAATGCTACACGCTTCTCACTTGGCCAAAGAATCATAAAATGACAATTAAACTCTCATCTTAATTAAATTAGAAATAAAGATGAAAGAAAAATGAAAGATTCTTTTACTATTTTTTAACTACAATATCAAATATGGACTAAATGGTCAAGAAAAAGTGGAGGAATATTGCAACAACTCAGGGGTGTCAATTTCCCTCGTTAGCTTAGGTGGCCCATTGCTCGGCAAGATAAAAGTCAGAGCTGGAGAGATTGGGGAAAAGTCCGAACACGCCCTACTCGCGGCTCGGCACTGCCCCATTTTGGGGCATTGGCTCGAGTCCGAGTTAGCCCGTGTGGCTCGACGAGTCACACGGGATGACTCATTTCATGGGCTATTTTCAGCCCGTGATGAATCAGACCTTAAAAAAAATAAAAATAATTGTCTGCTTTAAAAAAAATAAAATAAAATAAAATTCGTGAGCTGGCTCGGCATATATCTTTCTCATTTAACCTGAAAATGGAGAGGGGTTCAACTTTCATCTTAAATATTATAGTGTAAGGAGGGATTTTGGATTTTTTTTTCTTAATTTTTGTTTTCAATTAATTGATATTTATATGATTTCGTTCGACATAATGTATCCTTTCCTCTCGTTTTACTAAAGTTTAACATTTCTCCAATTCTCTCTATAATCATATAAAATTCTCTACGAATTTTTCATTCGTTTTACAGTATTTTCTATTTCAATTATATTTATATTTTCTAACACACGACAATAGTAGCTTACCTTGGACTTAAGGGTACACAACCGTTTAACCTTAGAAGCCCTTTGACAAAGGCCGTCCAGAGTAATATATCACTTGGGCCACCTTAAGTTGGCGCATCGAAAATATCAATTTTACTCAAAGCGAGTATCATCTAATACTGGGTATCAAATACGTTCTTAAATTTCAGGAATTTACAAATATTTTCGGGTTTGACTTTTATTAATGTGAACCCTATCAATATATCCCCAACACGCATATAAAGGAATTGATGAAAGGTGACTTGATACCAAACAACAACTTTAAATTGGCATCAATTTATTCGTTAGGCATCAGTTTCTTCCAATTTTGTTTATTAAATAGCGACTCTTAACAAATGCAATTAAAAGATACGCTAAATCTTGGGGAATAATGGAAAATTCATTTAGATTGGAATCCAAGGATTCCTTACCCATTAATTCCATACCTAAATTCCATTTTATCACATGCAAGAGACGATAAGTATCGTAACAGCAAAACTTGGAAGGGAAAATCAAACTAATTAGTTGTTTGAAGTACGAAGGAATTGAATTAGATATGTTTTACTGTGTACACAATAAAGAATATTTGTTGGCATTAGCATTAGCAAGCTCTAAGCGACGTACACCGATTTTGCTACATGTTCATCGCAACTTATAGATTTGTTTATTAAAAGATAACTTAAGCGAGATTTGACTGAGTTAAAATCTTACCAACCCAAAAAAATTTAAAAAATAAAAAATTCTCTCAATTTCTTTTTGACATCAACCCACATTACATAAGCACAAATATCATTTTAGTGGTAGTGCTGCACAGAAAAATCGCAGAATAGTAAATCGAATCGAACCCGTTGATTTGACACCATTGGTTCGGGTCCACGTGGACCCGCGATTTTTTCCCCTCAAACTAAACTAGACCGTTTTAAAATGGTTTTGTTTAGGTTTTGATTTTAAAAAATCGCACAAAATCGAATCAAACCGAACCCTTTTTTTAACTAAAAGAATTATTTTATTTAATTATTTTTAAATTTTACAATTTTTACTTTTTAGGAAAAAAAATATTAATTTTGCAATACAAATTACAATCACTCCATTGAAATAATCATATATACTAAATAAAGTTGATCATTACTGGCCCATGGTTTTATAAATCTACTACACAACATCATCACCACATCATGACCTGATATCTAAGCTAAACTAAAATTACCCCAAATTATTTGAAATGAACAAAAAGGGCATATATTTTCGACAATCAACATCATAATCCAACAAAACTACAGCGGCCAATCACGCTTAAAGCCTTTTTGATTGTATTTCGAATCTCAAATAAATATGAATGTAATTTAACATTTAACACTATTAGTTTTCATTTAAACTTATATATTAACTTGTTTTAAATATATTACTATAATGTCTATAGGTAAACCACTGATTAAAACTGAATCAAACCGCAAATAATGTTTTGGTTTGAAAAAATAAAATGGTTTGGCTTAATTTGGAAAAAATTTCAAACTGCGAGAAATGGTTTGAGTTGAAAATATGGCAAAAACCGTCCAAACCAAATCTCGTTCACTCCTGCAAAGTGGTGAAAAGATTTTAATAATTTTAATTTAATTTATCGCTGCCTCATCAATCTGTAAATTTTTTTTGTAAATGATGATTTACGAAAAGCACTTTTCATTTCCAATTGTACGACTATCATTTTTTTGTCATCTCGGTATAGTTTTGAAATAAACATTAAAATTCTAAGGCTATTTTATCTAGCCAATTAAGATTTCTCAAATATACTTTAGATTCATATTATCATCTATCATTTATGTGGCGTTTGGTGCTCCGCATTAGACCGTGTAATGAATTTAGTATAAAATTAGAATGGATAGTAGTGATTCTTTGATCTTTTAGTAAATAAAAAATGTCATTTGCACTATCAACCACACAACATGATGTTGTGAATACAAATGTTTTGAACCAAATAAGATACATAGCATAGATGACATTTTTTGATTAAAAGATAAACGAAAATTGTGAACTATCAACCACAAAATATATGGAAACAAATAAGATACATTGTATATATGACATTTTTTGGCTAGAAGATCGAGGGTTGTGTTACATGTACATAACAATTTACATGATGGTTTATCAACAAATAATGTGGCGAGATTTAATTGGATCAAAATCTCATCAATCAAATAACTTCTCCAATTATACTTTGACACATCATCATTATGTAAAACATTATGTAAATAGTCATGTACAAGAAGCATTTCCAAATATCAAAGAATACTGTCCACATCAATCCACCATAACACCATCCAATTACTACCATCCATTCAAATTCTATACTAAATTTTATGTATGTCTAATACAATGCACCAAAATTGCAACCTTACGAGTACATAATGCAAATTACTTCGATTCAAAAGTCGAGTAGTCATGTACATCCAAGTAGCGAGAAGAAAAAAAGAATCGCACTTAAAATCTATTTCTTGGAGAGACGGATAAGATACCTCAATTACGTAATAAACGATACACACCACACCACCTGAGGAGAATCTTGTGCTCATTACTGTAGGAGTGCTTACTACGTATTCAGCATCTTCCCAGTTAAGAGGTAACTAATGCCTGTCTTTCTGGAGAATAAAGGAGCAAATTGTTCTATTTGGCAACTTCACCAAACATTTAAATATTCTCATTCAAGCATATGCACGCCGTTACACAAACAGAAACGTGCACAAACAAGGACCTAGAAGATCAAACAGTTCAATAATTTCCTTTTCATTCTCTCAATCTCAAGTCTGAACTCTAATTGCACATTGGTGAAGGTTCAAGCCCCCCTAGAAAATAATTTAATGAAAAGGTAAAATGACTAAAATCTCATCTCACTTAAATACAATATTCTAAAAAGCTAAAGCGTGATTAGGCGTGGAGGCCAAACTTCAAATTTTACGAGCCTATACAAGGTGAGGCCTAAGCGGAAAAAACACTTTCTTATTTTCAATATTATTTTAAATTTTTAATGAAGTTAAAAAACATTTAATAATTAAAATAATACATACCAAACATTTAAAATTATAAAATACTATATTTACTTAATAATTCCTATAATTAGTCAATTATACAATTTTCAAAGGAAAAACTTGAAACAAAATTCAAACAAAAAGGATTTTAAAAAAAGGAAAAAAAAATTAATAAGGCGCACCAGTCGTGCATTAAGTGGTCAACTTGGCAGTTGATTGCTTAATTTCCCGCTTATTGCCAAGGTGAGGAGTTTTGACCGCGTCTTGCCTAGATGTACTTTTTAGAACACTGTTTAAATATGAAAAATTATAATCAACATTTGGACTATTATTAAAAAGACTCATGTCTTAAGATGAAACTTGGATATTAAATATAACGCCTTGCTTCTAGAACATTGCTTAAATATGAAAATAATAATCAACATTTAAAATATTATTAAAAAGATTGACATCTTAAGATGAAACTTGGATTTCAAACTTGTAGAGCCATCGTACCGTAAAATTGTACACGACTCGATAGGAAATAAAACTTAATTTATGGACGATTTGAAGCAAAAATGGATTTCAATGATTCTGTAACAGCTCTTGATGATGTATGACCATTATTTGCGAATTGATGTAATGAATTCCACTGGATTTATGGTGATACGACACAAAATTAGGCAGTGATACAGACTCAATTGCATGCATGTATACATCATCTAGTTTTCAACTTTCTTCTTGTGCAGAAAAAATTTGAACTGCTATAGAGTTGACAAATTTATTTACTTTAATTTTGCCTTCGATAAGCTTCCTCAAATACAGAGAATTCTTTTTTTTTTTTTCAAATACGAAAATATAAAAAGTGTACAATGGCATAATTGGTAGTAGTTTGAACGCAATTAAGACCTTTCGCATACTATATACTAAAGATAAACTACCTCGTCTATAATTTTAAACGGTGTTAGATTACCATCTCATTCTCACACCAAAACATTTAGATATGGATTCTCCTCACTCATGGGAATGCGTGTATGCCACCAAAAACATGGGAACAATTAATATTAAAAAAAACAAAGGCATTAGTTCATTCAGAAATTAGGGACACACATGAATCCATTCCTCCACCTATAAATACTCCCCACAAATTTTCAAAATTTATCGTTCACCTTGAAACAAATTCTTTTTCAATTACTCTCACTCTTCTGTAAGACTCCTAGCCATCTGCTTCTCACCAAGAATTATGTGGGGAAAAAACTGGAAATCCCATGAGAAATTACCTTGCCTGGATTCTAACTGTTTGCAGCATCAGAATCGAGTGGCAGACGAGAAAAATGATGAAAAATTTGATGCCCAGTTGATGAGTTTGGACGTCTGCACAGAGGAAACTAATGTTAAATGCCATGGAAACACAAAAGACTTGGAGAGTTTGGTTAATGAAAAGGATGGTGAAGGTCACAAAGAAACTAACAGTTCTTTTCTTCATGCAGTCATCAACATGAGCGGAATGCTTATTGGTAACTCACTTTATCGTATATATGTTTAGTATTTATACACGACTTGTATAACACAGAACACATCAATATTAATCCTTGATTTGGATACCAAGACGTTTGGTACACAACATTGAACGGCAAAGTAGACTTATTTCTCTTCATTAGTCATTTCAGTTCAGCATACCGAACATATCTCTTTCTATCTTGACGAAAGATGTAGAGAACTCACTTTCTTTTTTCTGTATGTTATTTAGCAATTATATATAACGTGTAATCGATACCAATTTTCAATTTGTACTCCAAGAATGTTCAGTGCACAACACTCTCAATGGACAACACTACACGATTTAGCGGACTAGCTTAATTTTGACTTCTTTTTCATCTTTAATCTTGTTCAGGTCTAGGACAACTCTCAACTCCATATGCTTTGGAAAATGGAGGATGGGCTTCTGCATTCCTGCTTGTAGGAATTGGAGTGGCATGTGCTTATAGTTCCCATTTGCTTGGGAAATGTTTGCACAAAAACCCCAACTCAAAAGACTATAAAGATATTGGGCAGCATGCATTTGGATCAAAGGGAAGAATTGTAGCTACTACTTTCATCTATATGGAGATTTTCATGGCCCTTGTTTCTTATACAATCTCGCTTCATGACAACCTAGCCACAGTGTTTCTAGGCATCAGAATAAATTTAGGATGGAATAACTTACGAACATCTCAGATTCTGACAGCAATTGCAATATTGGTGGCACTTCCAAGCTTGTGGCTTAGGGACCTTTCTTCTATATCTTTCCTATCCACTGGTGGGATTCTCATGTCACTTCTCATTTTTGTAATGGTGGCCTGCACCGCAGTTTTTGGAGGTGTGAAGGCCAATCACAGCATTCCAGCCCTCCAACTCAGCAATATTCCTGCCATTTCTGGTCTTTACATCTTCAGTTTTGCTGGTCATATTGTTTTCCCCAACATTTATTCAGCCATGAAAGACCCCTCCAAGTTCACCAAGGCAAGTTACCTGAACTTGTTTTACTTCTCATTGTCTTGAAATTGTAGCAATAAAACAGATCAAGAGATGTTGTTGGGGACCATAATGATGAAAGCAGTAGTAAAATCAGAAACCAAGCAAAGCTCACACAAATTTACAGTGGTTTACCCTCAATGTTCAATGTGACAGTTACGTCCACTATGTTGCTGCACGAATCCAAAGTGATCTGCACACCCAAAAATCGGCCTCCTAAAATCTTTAATATAATAGAAAATATAAAGGCAACATATTATGTCTATGAAATACCCAAGATATGCCTCATAAGGTTAATTTGCAGTCAAGGAGATAAGTATACACTATAATTAGACTCCACACAATCCAACGAACGTAAGAAGTATGTGGGGAGAAAATATTTACATCGCTAAGATGAGAAATTCTATCTTACAGTATTTGATATAATTCCTGATAGATATAGATTACACCTTGCAAAATAGTTGTCCCATTCTGAAGAAATATACAATTCATGAACAAAGTGGGACAAGTTTGGCAAAAGTGATAATACTGTAACATTTAGTGTGCAACAATATATCCATGGTGATACAGAATAAGATACAATAAAAATGTTCCTACTCTATCTGACATAAAAACAGAATCTGAAGCTTTTCATTAGACTTCAATGTCACTTGGGCACATTAATGACTAATGTTTTTTCATCCTCTTTACAGGTATCAATTGTGAGCTTCTCACTGGTTACATTGCTTTACACGGCCTTGGCGTTCATGGGAGCCAAATTGTTTGGCCCCCAAGTTGATTCTCAGATCACCCTCAGTATGCCTCGGAATCTTATTGTGACAAAGATTGCTCTATGGGCAACAGTGCTTACTCCCATGACCAAGTATGCACTAGAATTTGCACCATTTGCCAGTCAACTAGAACAAACACTTCCGCATTCATTGAAATCCAGAACAAAGATGATCATAAGGGGCACAGTTGGCTCGATTCTACTTGTATTAATACTCATCCTTGCTCTTTCTGTGCCATACTTTGAGTATGTTCTCAGTCTTACCGGCTGCCTAGTCAGTATAGGAATTTGCATTATTTTTCCTTGCGCTTTCTACACCAAGATATTCTGGAGCCAGATAACAAGGCCTCTCTTGATTCTGAATATGATTCTGATAATGAGCGGCGTGCTTCTGGGAGCAACCGGAACCATATCTTCTTCAAAATTGCTTGCGAAAAAATTACAGAGAGCTCACACATCCTGAAAATATAGTTTCACAAATGTGAAATTTTACAGCAGAGTGGTGTTTTGTATAAGATGCATAAAAGGGTTCCATATAAAATAATTTGATGCTTCTGTGTACTCAGTTCCTGATAAAGAATAAGTTTACATCAAGAACCAAATCTATCTAATTGTGTAAGGCTGATGAAAAGAACAACTCGGGCAACAGAACTTGTTCATTTCATTAGTAATATGTCAATCAAATGTTAGCCCATTTTCAAGAAAAAACAAACAAACAAATGAACACCATTATACCTCGTTTCTTTAGTTGAACAGTATAAGCAATCCAACAACAAGGACATTTCAATTAATTTATTCCAAAATCATTTTTTTATAATCTTATAGAAATAAAACATCTAATTTATTACCTTACTTTTGACAAATCTCTTCAAAGTATTGCATTATGCAGTTAAATCAAGGTATAGCTTTTGATTTATACAATTTGAGCAACTTATTTTTTAAATAACAGTTTTTTGCCAATTTATACATGTCACAACATTGTACAAATAATTTAATCCATTTTTCCCTATCAGTGTAACATCTCTCTATTATGGATTATGCTTCTTGTCTAAAAATGGTTCAACGCGTTTATCGGAGGGTATTAATATTTGAGGTTCTATCTTAAAATATCAACCTTATTAAGTAGAGTATCTCAAATCCTTTTAAGTTGGTATATGTTTTTATCTTTATTCGATGGAGAATTTTATCCCTTAATATGTTTTCGCAAGATGGTAGCTCATTTGAGCAAATCAATCTTGAAATTCATGTGCTCATTTTTTTAGTTTTAATCAGATTGAATCGCTCGCTTGAATCGGCCCGGCCCTGAGGCGTGGCGGATGAGGCTTGCGCCTCATGCCCAAAACTAGAGGGGGCCTCAGTTTTGGCCCAATTTTTTTTTTTTTTTTAAATAAAACGGAAAAAATTTCATTCTCTCCTTCCCTTCAACTCCAACCACCGCGACACCGTCTCCGGTCTCTCCTTCTCCTTTTTTTTTCCTCAAGTTCTTCCCTTCCTTTCACTCTTTCACAAATCACAAGATTCACATTTCAAAACAACAGAGAAAAAATCAGTTGGTCCTTTTTTCAACCCTAACTGCGCGAGTCGCTAGTCGAGGTCGACTGGCCGTTGCTGTGCTTCTGCTGGTACTTCCGCCAGTTTCATAGACCTTGGATTAACTGCAGCCAGTTTGATAACAATAGTGATGAGTCCGATTCAGAGCACGTAATTTTTTTATTTTTTACTTTTGTTATTACTCAATTGAGGCCTGCCAAAAGCGAAGTGAAGAGTGTAGCAACTGCCAAAAGGTTAACACTTAAAAACTTGTAGTCATTTAACTGAAAATAGTTTCTTACTTTGGTAAAACTGTAATCACATCTCAAATGGCGAGGGCTTTAGCGGTTGAAGATAAATACCATGAATTACTAAGATTAGCATCTTCTGTAGAAAAATGAAGAAGAATTGAAATACTTTTGACCATGAAACTTAGAAGGATTAATATCCTCAAACCATCTTTGAGATAACAGCACATATAGCTGATTATTTCTAGAACTAATGACTCATCTCTTATAAATGCTTTATTTAACGGTCACTAGGCTAGTTTGGATATAATTAGATGGCTATTTGCGGCCTGGTAATATCTTTCTTCCTTTATTAAATTTCCTTACAATGATATTGTCTCTGGTATACTGATATTTTCGCCGATGAATCGGTAGAAGATTCAGCAATTCAGGCTGATTCCATATCTCTTGCCACATTACTTTTGATTCCTGACATTCAGGTACTTCCATTGGATGGGGTGATCTTCCATGGATACTACCATTCGTGAGAAAGGTGGCAGTTTAAGGATCTTCAGCTTAGGAGTATTTGGATTTTTGTAGAAAAATTTGCTGAATGGAATTACATTTGAAATTCACGAGTTCGGTTGCTCAGTTTTATATTTAAGCTCATTTCTAGGTTCTATGTAGGTTTTGATAATCCCTTCCTATTTGATCATAAAATTCTTGGCATCTCCAGGGTCCTTGAAAGTGCTTCAAATGCTCGCATGTCAACACTCTTGGAATTGAAATGATGAGATAATTTTTGTACTGTGTGTAGTTAATCTAAAAGTGTTCCATGTTCATGTTATTGTGTGTAGTTTGTTATATGTATTGAAATGATGCACTCTTAGATGTGACTACAGGCTTGTGCGATGCGACGGTAGAATTCTCAAGAGTGTGATTCCAAGATTTTTGTCGAAATTCTATTTCTCAAGTAAGCAATGGCTTGCCCTAACTTTTTATTAAATATATTGAAAATGTTTGAAACTTTGCTGACTTGTATAATTGTCGTCTGGTCGGTTTATATGAATGGTTATTGTATAATCAATTGCACATATGCACGTAGTAACTATATTGAAAACATTTACGTTGATTTTGAGGGGCCTAATTTATGGAGTTCTCCTCGGACCCCAAAAATCACAAGACCGGCCCTGGTTGGAGTTATACGGGTTATGATATTTTATTAAAACTTAAGGTACCATCTTAAAATATGGACCTTATTAAAATGAATAGCACAAACCCTTAGTTGATCGATGTTTTTCATCTTTATTCAATAGGAGAATTTATTTCTTAACAGAGGGGAAAACATATGAAACTAAAAATTTTGATGAAGAAAAAGATAAACAAAAACGGGTTTACGTTGATGTAAAATAGAAGAAAATAATATAATAATTTGCTGGTAAGCTGATGAAAATAAGACATAAAAAATAATAAATATTATATCTGTCCCATTTATATAGATCGACTTTCCTTATTCTTTTCCCAATTATATAATAATATTTATTTATTGAGAATGTTTTGTTTTATTCGTTTATTAATATAATCTTATTTAATTTGTTTCATTTATAACCAATTTTCCTTGCTTAATCTTGAAATTGTACAAAAAATTATTTTTTCCAACAATAATTTACTATTAGTTGTTGATAATTAAATAAGGGTAAATTAGAAAAAAATTTGGCAAAAAATGTTCTTTCAACATCATTAAATAAGATTTCTTAATCAGTGTCAAAAAACAATACCAGTCTATATAAATCACTACAAGAAATTTTTACTTTTCCTACAAATTTTGAAGGATGAATTCACTTTTTCCTACAAAACTGCCCATAAAAAAATGCATTTTCCCCAACAATAAAAATTGACGGTAAAAATGTCTTTTGCAGCAAAAAAAAAAAAAAAAAAAGTAATTAAAGTGTTTGTAGGCTAATAATTAGCAGGAAAATTTTCTTTTTACTATTTGTATTTTTAGTCCCTACAAAATATAATTTGAAGATAAAAGATAATTAAAAAAAATGATAATATATTTTGATAACAAAAACCCAAAAATACACAGCCCACGTCTTTCCTACTTCTCCAAAAATCTTGCCTCCAGAAAATTTTGGCCAAAAAATCTTCCCTCCTTGCCTCTTTATTTAATTGAAGAATAATTTTGTGTACAAGTAAAGATGAAACCTTGCCTCATTCTTTAATTGAAGAAAAATCTCGATCGTATACAAAGTAAAGACGAAACGACCTGCAACTTAAATAATACGGAGAGACGATATTTGAAGCAACAATTTGAAATGCACTACAAACAATCTGAGCATGTAATTTATTGATTTTTGGGTAGATACACGGATTACAGGGTATCAAGTTCTTGTGTCTGATTTGCAGGCGTGCATTTAGGTTTTAATTAAAATCATCGATTTGTTTTCTTCGTCAAGCAGTTGCCCATCAATCCTATTTATTTTTTGATTTAAACAGATGAATTTGAAGTCTTGGGTGAACGGATTTGATATAGTTAAGTATTGGGTCGATTCAATTTTGGTTGCTGGTTTCTGTCTTTCTTGAAATGTGTCAATGTGGAATCATAGATCTTGTTTTAGCATTAGGAATTTGCTTAAAAAGCCTAGTCAACCATAATATTCGATAAAAAGCCTATATCAACACTTCCTCGATCGAACCTGTAGTGCAGTTTACCTCTCTTGTGTAGTTTGTGGGCTATTGCACATGAAGCGAGGTTTACCTAGTGCGCAGTCATAGTGATCGGGTCTCCGCCCCCTTCGAGTGATTGGCGAGTAGTGGTTGCGGGTTCCCATGTAAAAAAAAAAAGCCTATATCAATACTTATTGTTCAAGTAGCATATAGTCTATTTGATCATCATATATTAAAAGTCTTAAATACCCTTAAATTGAAATGATTAAAATGTCCACTTTGGAGTCAATATTTACCATATCCCCAAACATAAATCCCTAAATCCTTCTTCATTCTAACTTTTCCAAACCCATTTTCACCATATTAGACCTAGGGCTGTAAGCAAAAACCGCCANTTCTCCAAAAATCTTGCCTCCAGAAAATTTTGGCCAAAAAATCTTCCCTCCTTGCCTCTTTATTTAATTGAAGAATAATTTTGTGTACAAGTAAAGATGAAACCTTGCCTCATTCTTTAATTGAAGAAAAATCTCGATCGTATACAAAGTAAAGACGAAACGACCTGCAACTTAAATAATACGGAGAGACGATATTTGAAGCAACAATTTGAAATGCACTACAAACAATCTGAGCATGTAATTTATTGATTTTTGGGTAGATACACGGATTACAGGGTATCAAGTTCTTGTGTCTGATTTGCAGGCGTGCATTTAGGTTTTAATTAAAATCATCGATTTGTTTTCTTCGTCAAGCAGTCTTCAAGGTATGCCCATCAATCCTATTTATTTTTTGATTTAAACAGATGAATTTGAAGTCTTGGGTGAACGGATTTGATATAGTTAAGTATTGGGTCGATTCAATTTTGGTTGCTGGTTTCTGTCTTTCTTGAAATGTGTCCATGTGGAATCATAGATCTTGTTTTAGCATTAGGAATTTGCTTAAAAAGCCCAGTCAACCATAATATTCGATAAAATGCCTATATCAACACTTCCTCGATCGAACCTGTTGTGCAGTTTACCTCTCTTGTGTAGTTTGTGGG